CGTCAACACGATTCGGTCATTGCACGAGTCATGATACACGGACTCTGCCTTCTCTTAACGGGACCTTGACGGTATAACATAATATATCTGGCAAGATACAGTGGACACTGTGGTGCATTTGAAAACACTAAAAACATGTCCTTTTGATAAAAAAAGGCTACGTCTTAGGTGGGAGGAGACTCCAGGGTGAGTTGGTCATTTTCGTTCTTCTCGAAATTCCTGCCCCCTCCTTGGCTTAGTCGTAGAGGATGCCCCCGTATATTGCAACAGCGCCCATACTCCCATTTGATTGAGAAACGGCAATATCGAGCATGCTCCTGACGTGCCAGAATACTGCCTTATTGTTGATGTTGAAAAAGCTACAGTTGAGTTCCTCGCTGCCTATCTCAGCTTAGACATACATAGCAATTACTCCCAGTGGGATCTGAAGTGGAGGGGAATACCCCGTGCTGTGCTGCTTGCGATGCCTTTTCGGTAACTGCCGATCGAATCTTCTCCCTAGCCTACTTAAACTATTGCCTATAACTAGCTCGTACTATTGACTTTTCACGACATCGATTTCTGGAAAGGAAACGAACCTGCTCTGTTCATGGAAGAAGCCGACGGCATGCATGAGCTCATGTACGATCGTGCCAACTTGAATACAGCCGGAATCTAATGAAACTGGCTGACGTCCTCCAGTCCTGTAAAGATGCTATATAAGTGCTCTGAATGGTACGAATTAATGACTTGTAATGCGCTAGCAGTTTCTTAAGTAAGCCAGCGGAAAGGGTATTTGAGCGTTGGAATCCAGGATCGACCAAAGTTCGAAATACGTTATAGCAGTCAGCCTCAACCACATGCGGAGGTGTTTGTTTAAACTTTGCACGACCACTGCTCATGATCTGTGACGGAATCATACGGTCAGGAGATACAATACTATCACCCTACGTTTCGCTTACCAACGGATCCCTTGCAATGTCATAGGAGCAGCAAAATGATCGTCGGCCCCAAGGCTAGCCTTTTTCACAGAAGCTCCGCAAGAAGGGAATAGATTCCTATAAGATCTACGCGAGGAGAGCTCAGTGATGTTACTCTGGTGCGCTACAGGGACAGGTGAAGATCTGATGATGCTCGCTCTGAGTTGAGTGGTAGACGGGACTGCAAGGTGACAAGGTGGAGGGTGGCAAGGTAGCAAGATTTCCTAAAGGAAAGGTACTGGACTCTTAGTGGAGGGCTAATTGCCAGCGAGATGACTCTTAAGAGAGCGATCAACGAATATCCGTTTCATTCGAAAGACGAAGACTCAGAGATCACAACTGACCAATATTGTAGGGTGGTCCGAACAAACAGGCTACTTTGGATTTCGGACCTAAATAACTGTTAACGTAACTCACTTTCCTACGAGACTATAACATCCGTCGTCAGGGTGGATAAAAATGTAGTCCACATGGCGACTAACATCTCGTGGAACAAATCGAATGCACGTTTTGTCATGATACTCCTGAATCAATCGAGGCTTCAGCATTTTTATAGCGAAAAATGATACTGAATTATGATGTTCAAATGTCAAGTGTAAATACAATAAGCAGACTGGTTTCTAGGGTTATAAAGAGCATGCTTCCGTCTCTACCTCATGGTACAGGTGGAATCACGAGCCGTTATGCACACGCTTCCAATCAATGCGCTTTTTGGAATAGAAACCGAGTGTGTGGTGTACCCACTGAAGCTCAATGAAAGCCAAACACACTTCGTTTTGCCATTATAAACGTAGTCTCTACAATCCCACAGGTGATGAATGAAAGGGGACTAGCATTGGGTCCTATTTCCTCCTGCATCCTAGATCCTAGACAGTTTCTGCATTGAGATCAACAGTTTTGGTGCAGGTGGTTAGCCTGCATTATGACACATTTTTCAAAAATGTCAAAAAAGGCACGCTCCCACTCGGCAGACACGCGAAAAATCGCATTGTCGCCAACGTTTTACAATAAAGCAACATCAACAAGGCAAAACCGTGATAATATTTATTGCTTGGCCTCATACTGCCCCAAATCACAGCAAGCGATGAGAGTCGGGGCTGAGGAGATGACACCTATGGTTCCATATTTCAATTTCACATTTTCTCAAATCAGAAGTGATTAAACTGTACACGTTAGTCAATCATTTTATTTCTTTGCAAGGTAACTTCCAGGGAAGTTCTCTGGCAATCATGGAGCGAGGTTCCCGCCCAGCAAGATTCTCGATTCATTTTTTCCCGTCAGTACGCAGTGGAAGATGCTCAGAAGTTCTCCTCATATTTGATAATTAGTATGAAGGGTTCACAATTGAATGGCCAATGCTAACTTCGCCACGCTAAGCTCAGTGAAGCGGGCGTTTCGCGAAGAGCATGCGTCCACCGACACCCACTCTACGCAGCTCGAGTCTGTTAGAACGTTGCTGCCGGGAGCATGAATAGCAAAATGCCCGATAGTAAAGGGTCATCATAATCATCAGGCTTCTCTAATGTACCTGGTCGGAGATGGGTCCCCCTCTCTGGCCAGGGCTTTCTCCCCAACGCGTAACAAGATACCACTCAAAGAATTACGCTTCAGGCGTCACTGTTCAGCGGTCCTACAGCGAGACCCTTGAAATGGCCTGAACCCTGTGCTTCTCTGCCACGGGATGAATCCCTAAGCATCGACTGGGGATTTATCCCGACGCCACGGGGACAGAGTTGGTAACATTGAGCCATTTGGAAGGGTAGTGCTGTGGGGTTACCCTGGAAAATGACAGGCCCAAGACGAATCCTTATCCCCGGTTGAGATAAATCCCCGTCCTCGGGTCTTCGGTCATGTATAGGGATTCGTTCCCGGCTGGTAGCTATTATAAGGCCCCAAATCTTGTCTTAATTAATGATTTGCTTCAGAAA